CATTATAAGACTCATAAATTATATCATGTATCATGCAGTATTGTATAGTTAGAGTAGAAGTCAGGTACATTCGGAACAAAATGAAGTTGTTTATATTGCATCGTTGTATTTCTTAAATGAATTGCAGATCAGTTTGAAACATAAACAGGCTTTATGGAACAGTTTTTTAAGCCGGAACGGTTAACACCTGTTCCTACAAAAACGTTGTTCCTAAAAGATATGAACCAAATTGGTCTCCAAGGGGCACATATTATCGTGACCTTGCCTGTGACCTTGAGCGTTGTTTTCAAGGTCATTTCACGGTCAACTTAGTTTTTTTAATTGGAAACCCTTATTTTCAACCCCGGATTCGGAAGAAGCGGAAAATTCTACGTTCAGATGTGTGGGGTCCATTTGAACCCCCCCCCCCCTCCAAGGGCACGTGAAGGTCAATTTTGTTTAATGAATCTTTCCCCGCAAAGTTAAGGTTTAGTGAAAGATGTGTCTGATAAACGTTGCAAAATTTTGAAGTGACATGTTTCGATAACCTTGACATGAAACATTAAAACTCATTTAGAAGACTTTTGCGGAAATGGTATACACCAGTAACACAACATGTTACAAGTTTATTTTGAAGCAGGGTCATTTGTCGCTGCTGAAAGACTGTGGCGACAACGTTATCCCGACAGATTTCCTCATTCTCGAAAGGTTTTTTCGCGATTGTCGAGAAGAGATAAGAACTGTGGTCTTCTGCAACCTCATCACAATAAAAGAAAGGTTATTCGCCGGCGGTGAACTATGGAGATGGGTGGAAAGATTTAGTAAAAAAATTTACCTTCACGCGACCTTGGGGGTTCTAATAGACCCCACACATGATGCATCATCTGAAAGTAGAATTTTTCCCTCTTTTCGAATCCGGGGTTAAAAATAAAGGTTTCCATTTAAAAAAACTAAGTTGACCTTCAAATGACCTTGAAAATGACCTTCAAGGTGTTTTTCGACGCCTGAAGAGCGGTCGATGCGTTCAAAATGTATGTTTTAGAGGCACCTTAATCGGAATGGAAAAAGTGCTTCGAAAATTGGGTCAAGTGCATGCAAAAGTGTATTGATTTTCATGGAGAAATATTTTGCAAACAATAAAGGCACGATGATTAGTTTCTTTTTTTTTGTTGTTTTTTTGTTCCCGAAATATAAAAGGCAACCTTCGTACATATCATATATTTGCTTTCATAGTTTGCACAATATTTTGATTTATTTACAAATGTCAAGATTGCCATGGATTATGGCGTAGGTTTGTTTTCCGTACTAAACAAATCTTTAATCTATAACTTAATTTCTATTAAAAAAATATCTTATTATAAAAGGTGTGTTATAATATTCCGTTTCATTCCGTTCTAGGTAAACGACATATATTCCATGCAAATTTTTTTGTAATGCTGTGATACCCACCTCATTAATAGTACTAATTTAGTTCAATATTTTCTCCCTTAGGCCATAATTAGACTCTCTACTTTTTCTTTCAGAGTCCCCCATTGAAAGAATTACATGCAGCTCAAATTGGGACTCCTTGCGGATCATAATATTATACCTTCACAAAAAGAGTATATTTTAAAAAATATCCTTTGTTTATGTTCCAGAGCATAGACATAACACTACATATCAATAGCGGATACGGTTCTAAGAGAATTATCTTGTAGTAAGATCTGTGAACACGGCAGAGTAACTATCGAAGGTGTTACTCTCGGGAGTTGCTCTCAAATGGCACGTAGCTAGAGAAATTCTCAGTAATCGAATTCCTCGGGGTCGAGGTTACGGTAGTGATTACTATCGGGACGAGATACGACAATAGACTAACAAAAGGTTAATATTGTAACCTGAGGGATTATTTCTTTAATTATCTATTTTTATTTCTTAATTATCTATTTAATTCTCGAAAGGGAGTTTATTATCATTATACTTTAATTAATACGTGGGAAGTTAGAAATGTTCAGAGAATTACTTCCAAGCACTTACCATTCTTCGCTTACGTGGAATGTAATCCAGTGGCTGACTATACAGGGTGACACTGAAGATGCAGAAACAAAGGAAACACCAAAACTTCCAGGACGGGTTTTATTAACAATAAACAAAACAAACAAACAAAATGACAACACAACGACTCGAACAATATTATTAATGAATTTATTTATACGCGACAGCGTACCGAGATTTAGGGAATGCGCGCTTCATACAAAATTTGGAAAAACTTTATCCATTATTAAATTTAATTAATTAGCCCGAGACTACAGTTAATTAGACTGCTCAATGTGATACTCAAGGAAGAACTGCCTTTTTCTCCTAGATCTCTTAAATTCCACAATTCGCTTTGACCCGCCCATTTCTTGGGTCCAGAAGTTTCTGTTCTTGTCTTATTGGCGGGGACCTGAATATCGGGACGCTGGATATAACTATACTAGGTTAATAATTACCTAATTGACTTGACTTACATTTTATATGAATAACTATGTGACTTACTAGTAACCCTAACCTTCCTCTCGTGACTCCGTGTAGCAATTACGGGACGGATTAGCCGATTTAATCTTCTCTTATAATTTGGAAAAATCCGTCAAAAAATACAGCTTATTAATATACTTTTCTTTTTCAATTACTATATATTTCACAATTTAATTTAATTCCTCTTTGGAATCCCTACGCTCTTCTCGAGGTTTCGCGCGTTATTAAAAATATGAGTTTTTACGCTGATGTCTCCCAGACGCAACAGATGACTACCATATGGCCCTGACAGTTTAAGTGAACTTGTTGAAAATATTGGTAAAATTCTCCGAAGGACTACCCTACCTACTTGAAAGCCCTCAACTTTCGATAATTTGTGTCGACTGAAATATCTTACTTTTGGCCCATCCGTTCCGAGAACAAATAAATAAATTACTGCGCGTCCCGGGTTTTGTTATAATATAGTTATTGAGTCAAAAGTAGATATCGGCTAAAATTCGATGAGCATTTACTATTTTAAGGAGATCAAGAGATCAAAGTATTTCTTTATTTGCATATCTTAAAGTTTTTCTGAAATAAGTGCGTGTCTTGAAAACGGTGATAGAGGGCACGAAAATAAGCAACTCTTATTAAGCAACTGATGGTCTGTTTTCCAGGAAATTAATTAAGCAAATTTACCAAAAATGTAAACTGACCCTGTGCATCTTGTGCACGTGCACGGCCAGAATGCTTCCGACTCGCTACATGCTTGAAGCGCTTTTCTAATTGGCTGACGTTCCACGTGACTTCCACGATCAAGCAAATCTGATGGTAGGTCAGTATGTCTTGTGTTCTTTAGTTTAGTTGTGTGTTGCGGTATTGTTTAGCCGGCTTATAAAATGTTTTCTGATCAAGAACTAGCAGATATGGTGTTAATGTACGGAGAATGTCAGTACAATTTAAATGAGACGTATAGTATATGGTCTGCTACTGTACCAGAAGACAATCTAACAGTAAAACAATGCAAAAGGCAGTTCAAAGGTTACGAGATACCGGGGATGTCCATCTGACATATGAAGGTCGTGGACGGGAAAGGAGGCAACATGTTTTCGACAACAAAGAAAACATGATAAACCTCGTTGAGGAAGATCCGAGGCGCAGTACTCGCGACATTGACCGAGAAGTGGGAGTATCTAACAATGCCGTGTGGCGTGTGCTATGGGAACAATTATTACACCCTACACATCATGTACAAAGGGTTCAGGCATTAAATGACAATAATTTTCAGCCCGTGCGGAATTTTGTGGTTTCGACATCAAATAGCACATCCGGATTTTACAAGCAAGATGCTTGTTACGGATGAGTGTTGTTTTACTAGAGAGGGCATACTAAATTTTTACAACATTCACTATTGGTGTCATGCAAATCCTTACGTTGTACAGAGATCTAGGTTCCAGCAACGATTTTCAGTGAACGTGTGATGTGGTGTTTTATATGACAGATTACTCGGTCCGATAGTGTTACCTGCACGTTCAAATGGTGCTGGCGAGTATTTAACAAACGCCTTATTGGATTTGTTGGAAGACGTACTTGTACAAATCCGTGTCCAAATGTTCTGCATGCATGATGGTGCCCCTCCCCATGTCTCTCTGCAGTTTGTGAACTTTTACTACCAACTTTCCGGAAAGATGAATAGAACAAACTCCGCATATGAACTCTCTGGACTTTTTTATTTGGGGGTGTATGAAACAAACTGTGTACCGAACGCCTGTTGTCGATGCAGTACATCTTCAACAGCGTATTTTTGTTGCAGCTAATGAAATTCGACAAATGCACGTACTAATGGTACGCATGGTATTTGCACGTACTAATTTTAACCGTCGTTTGGATGTACAACATTGAAAAATTTTTGTATAGCATATCGTCTATTGGTAAGTAATTCGTTTATTCGTTCAATTTTTGTGTTACCACTTTTAAAAGAGATTTGAATAAATTTCAGCATTTTTGAACACAAAATTTGAACCGTCAGCTTTAAATTTGTTTAAACCTTTATGTGAAAAATTTAAAATGCATAGTTGCTTAATAAAAGTTGCCCAATTTCGTGCTGTATATCACCCCTTTAAAGGAATGCACTTATTTTAGAAGCACCCTGTAATTTCATTAAATTTTATATGGAGTTAAAATCAACCCTTATTTAAATGTTATGATTGGAGCTGAAAGATAGGGACCTTTAGTCTGATAGCGATGGCCTAATATTAAATTTAGAAAAAATACGACCTGGAAACAAAAAATATGGTGTTATAGGAGAAAATCTAAAAAAGATAGTTTTTTCCTGTGGCGCATAAACGCGAAGTTAGCCTAAAAAATTCATAAAAGTCAAAAAAACGGTTTTTCGCTAATAAAAAAAAACTTGAACTCCAATCGAAAAATATTTTGCTTATTGTTAGAGGTGGACCCAACAAACCCTATATGGCTATACTCGACAGGAACCGTTCTATCCAAATATGTAAAAATATACAGACTGTTCTATTTAACTTAACAAAGTTAACATCCGCGGCCATTTTGTTTGGACTTCATTTGTTTTTCTACTATCATTTTCGAAAAATTCATAAAAAATCGTGCAACTTTTATATTTCACATTTTTTTATAACTCTTAAAACAAAAAAGTTAAAGGGGGGTCAAAATATAGTGAATCACCCTGAACCTAACTCGAAAATTTTTTAATATTTTTTAATTTAAAAAAGCACTTTTTTGCTTGCCGAGGGCTATGTTTACAGCAAGTAACAAGTTTTAAAACCTTCATTTGAGAGAGAAACAAGAAAAACAAAAAAAAGTCGATTTTTGACGGTTTTTTCGATATATCTCGAAAAGTAATATATCAATCGATATACGGGTGAGTCAAAATTCACTCCCCAGCGGCCGGATATATATTCTAAAATAAAAAATAAAACAAAAATATAGAATACTAAAATCTCGAAAGCGGAGTCGTTTTCGGAAAATTTTGTAAAGAAAAATTCAAATTTATAATTTTTTTGTTTAATATTAACACCATTTAAATTCAAACAAAATAAGAAATAGCAAAAACGAAGATCATTCTGGCTTTGGCTAACCTTCAAAACCATTACCATTTTCGTTAATACACTTTTGCAATCTGTGGTAGAAACTCCTAGCAACAGAACATAAATTAGCTTCATTTATTTCCGCTACTGCTTCATGAATCCTGCCAACAGGCACAGTGAAATAAACCTTTTCTTTTATATATCGCCATAACCAAAAGTCTATCAGAATCAAGTCAGGAGATCGAGGTGGCCATTGTGTTGGACCACCCTGTCCAATCCATTTATTAGGTTCAAAATATGTCGTACTTCTATCAAACAAAGCAAAATGTTCTCGCAAAAATTAGGTACTGTAATTTTCACCATTCAGTATTCTTGGCAAAAAATATGGACCTATGATCCTTTTCCGTAAATACCTGTCCCAACATTTACAGACCAATGTCTTTGCTGATTCCGCTGACGTTTTTTATGAGGATTCTCATAATGCCAATAATGAAGGTTGTGGTCATTGAAAACTCCTTGTTTTTGTCCGGCCAACTTGATTAGTCTGTTGAAATTTGCGCATTTATTGAATCAAAATTAACAATTTATTCGAAAACTGCTCCGCTTTCGAGATTTTAGTATTCTACATTTTTGTTTTATTTTTTATTTTAGAATATATATCCGGCCGCTATAAATTTTTTTAATAGCTACAACTTTCTCATTTAACTTTTTTCGATTGGAGTTCACATTTTTTTTTTATTAGCGAAAAACCGTTTTTCGACTTTTTATGAATTTTTTTAGGTTAACTTCGACGTTTATGCGCCACAGGAAACAACACAACTTTCTTAGAATTTTCTTTCCTACATCACCATGTTTTTTGTTTCCAGGTGGTATTTTTTGTTATCTCTTCTGCCTATTGATTGGACTATAAGGATAAATCGCAGATGTTGTATTCTTTAAAGTGATCTCGAGATCACTCTCGAAATCAATATTTACTCTATTTTTATTTATTTGTCCTACACGGTAGGTATCACCTTCGAAAATCTCTTTTATATTTTTAATATATAGGTATATATTCCCGTTCCTTTTGATCTCACTTGTTATCCTGAACCTGATAAAAAATATATCCGATAATAACTTTATCCCTTTTATATATACCGAGATTTTTCCCTCAGAGTTACCAACCACATAAATTTACCGGCTATATCGGAGGAATTCCTCGAACGCCCACCTCTGACCCGCTTAAAAGCAAATGAGTTTATTGCTTCGGATAAGGCAGACTGGAATGCAAACACTATTACGAAAACATCTTGCGAATTCCGGAACCCCGTGATTCCGTTGATACCTCTTCGCTTTTGTAATTGCTCGCATTTTCCCACGTCATTATTTTTCAGGCAGAATAACACCATTGCGTTACTCTAAGCTTGACAAGATTTTGCAGGATTTTACATTTCGCAAGTTCGTGCTTCGTAATAGGCTTAGCTTTAAAATATGTGTGCACTGGTGAAGGAGCGAAAATGTCTAAATTTAATATAACAGTTAATAAAAGAACAGGAAATAAAGCGAATTCGCGAATTTTGAATTTATATTAACAATAAAGCTTACACATTACCAATATATAGGGTGATTTCACTTTAAATGCAGAAATTGCAGGACTAGATTCATTACCAAAAAATAAGTATAGTTTGCTCTATAAACTTTTTCCTGCAGGACTCTGTATTCGAGATAGAGGGTGTAAAGTTTACAAAAAATATATATTTTCTGCCATATCTTCATAATGCGTAGACCTTTTATTGAATGTAATATTAACCTGGTGGCTCTTTTATAAACGCATTTTGTTCTGGTAATTAAATTTTCGTTAGCATCGTGTTCCTCAATTCATTATCATTATTTATTTTTTGCTCACTAATTTGCGAATAACTTTATAAAAAAAAATATCAAACCATTTTTGGGATTTTTATCCTCTTCAAACTAACTCATAAAAAGTTTTATCCTGCTATTTCACGGTTTTAAGAAAACGTGAAAAAACCTAAACTTGGATAAATAGCACCAATAAATAAACACAAACACACTTTAGTTAGAAATTTCAAACTTATACTATATTCACCAATTTTTTGTGCTAAATTCGTTAATGCATAGAAAACTATAGGATTGCATTTAAAAATGTTGATAAAAATCCATAAAACGGCATTCTTTTGAAATAACGCCATCTATAGGCTTCCATATTGAGGTAAATGACATTACGCATTCACCACGAGATAAAGCATGAAAAAACCTTCCCAATGAGGTATAACACTATGGGCTTTTGATTTAAAAAAAATGCATTTTTTCTCCCACCCTTTCTCTCAAAATGTCAATAACAAAAGTTATAGTCCGGTCAAATTAGTCATAAAAATAGTGGTCAAATAACGAGAATTCCGACAGAGCTAAATTTTGGTGGAGACGTTGGATACACCATTAGAAATAAAGTGTCAAAAGTCCCCATCGATCCCATGTGTGCTAAAAAAGTTATTCGGGATCAAAGGTCAAAATATGCGGTTTTTTGGATTTTTTTCGAAAACGGTAAGTTTTATCAAAAAAGGAGCCCAGACAAATATTATAGATCTTAAAATGATATACAAAATGATCTTTATACTTTTTTTCTAAGAATCACCATTCCTGAGATATCGCGATTCTAAAAGTTGAAGGAGTTCTACATGCTATGCACATATATGCAACGTATACATAGTCAAGTAAAAATGCCTATTTGTGTCTCTTATATGTATAAACTACACTATTCTGAGAATATACACTCAAGAAAAAATCAGTCACTGTCAATCCCCTCTATCCGCATGGCCTTGAATAACATCTGGCTACTCTATTGTAAAAACTTTTGTAAAAATACACGAAACAAGAAACAAGTACAAACATCTTGTCTTCCTCCAACATCGGCTTCTGCTAATCAACACTTGTATCGAGTATACCATCAAGTTCAGACATGCCTAGGCAATCAACCCAGAAGACTGGGGATGGAAATTAACTGATAATACTTTGGAACCGATTCAAACTTTACTCTCACCTGCTCCGGAAAAACTCCTAAACACTATTTTCTGCAATTGCAAAAAATGTTGTGCTAAATGTGGTTGTAGAATAGTAGGGTTACTGTGTTCTCCAGCGTGTACTAATTGCCAAAGCCAGTCTTGATGTCCAATTAAAAACAACAGACGAAGGTTCATGTGATTTCGATGAAGAGATTTCGATGATTTATCTTCATTTGAACAGTTCATGAACATACAGTAAGAAGAAAAGGAAGAAGAAGAAGAAATCGAAGAAGATATGACTGTTGAAGTCGACATTGAAGAGTATGAATCTGATTAAAATATCAAAAGAAATCAGAACTACAGTTAAAGTCAATAACCAATATCAATAATCGTCATGCAGTTAAAAGAGTATTGTCCACAGGTGGTGTAGAAATATGTGCATATCATGTAGAACGTGACTCCTTCAACTATTAGAATTGCGATATCTCAGGAATGGTGATTCTTAGAAAAAAAAGTGTAAGAACCATTTTATAGATTATTTTATGATCTATAATTTTTGTCAGGGCTACTTTTTTGATAAAACTTACCGTTTTCGAAAAAAAATCCGAAAAACCTCAAATTTTGACCTTTGATCCCGAATAACTTTTTTAGCATACATGGCATCGGTGGGGACTTTTGACACTTTATTTCTAATTGTGTATCCAAGGTCTCCACCGAAATTTAGCTCTGTCGGAAATTTCGTTATTTGAAATGTCTATTTTGACCGGACTATTACGCGCAATGAATCCTATATAGCCCAGTAAATGAAATTTGTTATACATGTAAATCAAAAGGTGATTCGTTTTAGATTGAAACTTGGTTTAATTGTTAGTTTAGGCAAAAAGAAATAAGTTTATTTTAATGAGAATCGAGTGTTTTAATTTACTTACCTGTTTTAAAAAATAATATGTAATTTAATGTTAAAAAATAATACTATTATGCATATTACATCCAAAAACTCGATTCTCATTAAAATAAACTTTATACATAAAAAATATGTCATATCCTGAATTTTTTACATAAAAATATTGTTAATTACCGTAGATATCGCAAAATTTTCGGGCAGTTGAGATTTGAGGTCTCGGAACGTTTCTGTCTTATTTCCCCCACCACATTCCAGAAGTAAATATGTATTCGAGGACGTTTTTTAAAGGGTTAAAAGTTACTATAAAATGCATTTTTATCGATATCTTTAACCGTTATTAAAAAAAAACGCTATCTCGGCTAAAAATGGTCCTAGAACAATTTCTTTTTTAAATTCATGAAAAATTACCAGGATTACGAATATCAAAGCGGCTTTAAAAAATAATCATTCTTCGCAAAGTTATTAACGAAAAACCTTATAAACAAATTACACTATTTATCTATACGCCGTTTTGAGGTTAGCCTATGAAATTACAATTTTCAATTGCATTTCTTGAAAATATAAGTCAAGACGAAACAAATGAGCCTTTATAAGGCCCTTTATTAAAACGCTAACAACCGCGTTTTTGCAATTGAAAAAATGCTATTTCTAATAAACAAATGCAAAAACAAATAAATATTTTTTTACCAAATTTTCAGGATTTCTTAAACGTAACAAAATACAACTTTTACTGCAGTTTAGAGACCATTTATGCTATTTTCTTCTATTTATAGCAAATTCAAATTTCGCTTGTTTTTTTTTGCAATTATTTAAACAAATTGTTAATGGATTTTAATCTAGCAGGTCTCACTCAAATGAAGCGTTTTTGAAAATCTATAAGTATAAACAGAAGGAAAAACTCCTGTTAGAGAGAGCTTTTTAATGCAGCTAAAAAACTCAATTTTTGGTAATCTTGTTGTTTTAAACCGATACTTTTTGCGAAATATTATTTCTTTTTGCCTAAACTAACGATTAAATCAAGTTTCAATCTGAAACGAATTTTTTTACAATTTTTTTTTTTCATTTACTAGGCTAATATTTGTACTATTTAATATATCTAAATAGGAAACATTTGTGAGAAAAATTCAACTCTGTTTTGGTACGTAGAATGCGCCCCCTAGCGGCCGAGATACGTACTTGAAAATATCCTACGATTTCTCTTGATCGATTTATTCAACAATTTTTTTTCCCGAAGCTCTAGGGCCTACACTTTCTCTAATATCGTACCTCTCCCACCTTAGTGGGACACCCTGTATATTTCAGCAACAGAACGATACGCATTTTTTTATTTATTTTTAATATCTAAATAGCTGTCGTTGTATATAAATACGCTCTCAGGTATTCACGACGTCGTTCACGCATTGATTTTTCAGCACCAGACGCCGTAAAACCAGACAACAGGGAGAGTTAATACCGGTTACAACGCGGATGATGTTTGGGTTACACGTTCTCTGTGTGATTTTTGTTGTTTACGCCACAAAGCGGCTTGACGGGATGAAAAGCGGGCTCCTTTTAATGCCGTGTCATCTTCCATGAAGGGGCGCGTAAAAAGCCGCAACCGCGGGGACGGGGTTACAAAATTTAATTAAGAGACTCTCGACTAGAGGTAATTTTTTCTCTTTACGATCAACAGGGACGGAAAAAAATTAATTCGATATACCGCTATCGTTTTCTTTAGGTTGTAAAACCATTTTTTTTTATTACAAAGGGCAAAAGGAGCGTTTGTGGTAAAGGGAAAGTGACACGGTTAAATGGGGTATTACCAAAAGAGAATAATTTGAAGCTCACTTGATCTTTACATATTATCGCAATTACGTTAGTGGCGCAATGTTTTTCACATTGACAAAAGTTATTAAGATTTACTAGCGTGTCACTTCTTTTTCTTTCGCATGCACAAATTCTGAACTTATGTTCTAATTCTTTTAGTTATTATAAGTAGAGGTTTTATTGCTGTGATTTTCATAGTTTTATTTGTTTCTTGGATTGTTGATATCTCATTTACAGTCGGATACCAAAGTAATAGGCAGTGATTTCATCTTTAATCCGGCTCACCATTTTTAGCAGTCAATACAAAAACAAGTACGGGTTTGTAAATTCTTCGTATAAAATTGTGTGTGCCGCATTCTCCCAGAGCAGTCGATATTGTAGTTTTAGGATATTGTTCTGCTGCAGCAAATTCTAGACTTTCATTGGTGTTTGGTGCGTGACATCAATTGGGTTGCGTTTATTCGGTTCCGGGCAATTCTGTCGGCACAGGCAAATAGGCGTACGCGGGAGAAGTCCGAGGATATCTTTCCGTTAATTTAATTGTGACTGTAATTAAGCATAGTAATATAGGGTTTGTTGGGTCCATCTCTAACAATAAGTGAAACACTATTAAAACTATTGTAATTGTTAGATTTCTTTCAGGCATTTCTGTCTTTTTTACAGTTACGTAAGGATTTACAGATTTAGTTGTAATATATTTTGACTTATCGGACATTTATACAGTCCACAATGCGTCTAGGTATTTTAACTAAATCTCATTAATTAGGCCGTGAGAAGCCTATTTACTCATGGATATGGTAGGACGTGACAGATAATGTCATGACAACATTATTATTGTTTGACATTTCGTATTATTTTTTCATAAAAATAAACACATAAGTAGAAAATTAAGATATTATAGGGATTGAAATAGACTATGGAATAGAACAACAATAAATAATTTATAATATTAAAATCACAACGACAATTTTACGACTAACAATTATATAATACTTAAATTACAAATACTGCTCTAAATGGCCTCCATTATTTAAAACACAAAGATCATATCTTATCTATTAAATTATTGAAACAGACCAAAACAGCCTTATTATTGTTATCGTTTAAGACGACTAGTTTCTCTAATTTAATTTCATTTGAACGCTGCTATTAAAATTATTATTAACTTTGTCATTTAAAAATGCCTACAAAAATGTATGGGGCGGTTTGGTGGCCCGTGTTTACCGATCCAAATGTCAAATTGGCGATTTAAATGCTCCCGAACTTCCAAAACATTGGCGCACCGTCCTGTTGCCAAATTATTCCTTCTAATTTCTCAGCAGAAAATTGTTGTTCTAACAGTAGTACTATCTCCGGAAGAATAAATTGTAGATATGTTTCTCCTGTTAGGTCCTAGTAAAAAAATATGGTCCCTACAATTTTATTTTGGAAAATGTCACACCAAACTTTTACAAACTTTCTACCCGACTTCTTAATTTGGGCAACTTTTCATTGTCGTTGATTTTTGTTCTCCCACGAATGTTTATTTCTCCTATTAGAAATGCCTGCAGTGGAAAATGACGATTTATCTGTCCACATTATGTGTTTAAATATATCAGGATTCTCATCTAAGCTCCTGCACAGGTAATAACTTGTAAGGTAGATAATCTTTTAATGATCTTTGAATTTTTGAATAACTCTTTCCAAGCACATGTGAAACTCTTGTAATTTATATGCTGCCCCTGTCATTAATTTTCTAGACTCTCCATCGCACTAAATGTTGTCATAAGTTAGCGCGACAGTAAATACTAAACACCACTGAAGCATTAATTTTGGGCGCCAAATTTTAATTAATTACGCAGCGTCACAGAAAAAAAAGCACTGGTTTGAAAGATCAAACCATGATGTACCTACATATATTTTTACGGTCGCTGAATCCGAATCCGAGGTCCGTTTAACCCGATCAGGTCAGGGTCAAGGTTAATACAAGGTCATATCGCGAAAAAAGTGATTGCAAAAAGTTTGACCATTCTTATACGTTTTTCAGGTCCCTGGTTCCGAATTCAGCGTTAGATTTTCAAAATATTTACCCGTTAAATTAAAAAACTTAAGAGGAATCCAATCCGTAGATCTTTTGACAATAAAATTGTTCAACACCATAAAGGTGAGGTAGATTTGTAATGATGATGAGGATTTACATTCAGTAAAACCAAAAGAGCCTAATGATGGTCTCTTTCTACGTTCACACAGTTTTTCTAGATTTAACATTGAAAAGGCCTTGAAACTGACGTTATAGAGTTAAAAAGACACAGAATTCGGAATCAATAACCCCAAAAACTCCTTTAACCATAAACACATTTTGATTAAAATATTCATAAATTTTTTTCTAGGAAAATATGTATCTAATCGAAAAATTACTAGAGGCACTTTTTACTGAAAATTTCATGTAGAATTCGACAATATATTTTATTTTTTAATATTTTTAAATTTTAAATACTAGATCCGCCATCTTGAATTTTGAAAATCTAATGCTATATTCGTAATCAGAGAGCTCAGAAACTTATAAGAATGGGCCTGAAATTTTTTGCATTCACTTTTTTTTTCGCTATATGACCTTGGATTGATCTTGACCCTGACTGATCGGGTTAAACTGAACTCAGATTCAGCGACCCCAAAAACATATGTACATCATGGTCTGGTCTTTCGGACCAGATATGTACTTTTTTTGTGGCACTGTGATTAATAAACAATCTCTAATAAGTCTAATGATTATAATAAGGTTATAGATTATCTCTAGATATAAAAAAATATATGATAGATTCCCATCCATTTCCAAGAAGGTGTAGAACCTGAAGTGACATGTGAAGAAGACTATTTGAATATCTCTAATAATGTATTTTTCATGAAATAAAAATATTAAGTTTCTCAATTTCATTTACCATCCGTTTCCTTTTTTAATTATTTTATATTCTAATCATCTAATCCTTCAAAACTGATCGACAATTTGTGTCGTTTTCTCGAAAACAGTGCGTTTTATCGAAAAAGATAGAACTTTTCAGTTTGCTATTGGCTTTTAGAAACTATTTTTTGGAAAATTTCAGTGCTATTCAAACAAAGGGTGCCGATACTTCTGAATTTCCGCGCCTGAGGTATCTCATTTATCATCGCCATATTCAAATCGTGCAAATGGTAGGCGATACCCTGTACTTATTCATCTCGTTTAGAAAATATAAAGAAAAAACTGATTTTTTATAAAAATATGAACACCCTTGGAAATGAAGTATTTCCAAATTTCATATAAACCTAATTTCTATGTTATGATGACATTGCCTATGACCTTGAAGGTAATTTTCAAGGTCATTTCAAGGTCAATTTTGTTTTTTCAATAGGAACCCCTATTTTTGACATCGGATTCGGAAAGAGCTGGAAATTCTATGTTCAGATGATTATCATATGTGGGGTCGGTTGACCACCCAAGGTCATGTAAATATTATTTTCGTATTAATTAATTTGTATTAACTCGAATTTGTCATTGACAGTTTCGTACAACATTTAGCAAACATTTGCATTAATAAATAATAAATTAATAAATGTTATTGAATGTAGAATTTTCGGCTCTACTGGAATCCAATGTCAAAACTAAGTGTTTCCTGTAAAAAACTAAAGTTGACCTTGAAATGACTTGAAAATCACTGCCAAGATCAGTGCCAAGGTCACAATAACATGTCCTCCTCGGAATCGAGTAACTTTTATTTGAAACATTTTTTGCTAAACCTTACTTTTGGCGGGACATTTGGGTGCAAAGATTGAGGAAAGAATAAAATTGACCTTTACATGACCTTGGGTGGTAAACCGACCTCGCTTGTGTTACGTCATCTGAACGTTGAATTTCCCGCTCTTTCCGAATCCGGGGACAAAAATAGGAGTTTCTATTTAAAAAAACAAAGTTGACCTTGAAATGATCTTGAAAATGACTTTCAAGGTCATAGACAATGTCACCATAACATGTCCCCCTCCGAGTCCAGTAATTACTGTCTGAAATATTTTTCGCTAAATTTTACCTTTGACGAGATATCCGGGTGGAGGAATTAAAATGGCCTACCTTGTATGTACAGGGTGTCCCGAAATTCATGCAACAAAATCCTTAAGGGAGTTCCCCGCTAAAAAACGTAGTACCATCAGATTCCACATGTCATAAAACCCCTGTGTACCAAATTTAGTGATCCTTGTACAACAGGGATCTGAGATATAAAAAAAGATTATTCTTAGTGGCAGATTTCAGGGGGCTGTAACTCCGAAAGAGGAGGCCAGTTGGCAAAAAGGAAAAATACGGGTCCCCTAAATTTGTCTTAAGAATCTATGACCAAATTTTGTTGCATGAATTTCAGGACACCCTGTATATCTACTGAATGCTTCAATTCCATTATTTCGTCAACAGAAACTGTTAACCTACGCATTACTGAAACAGTAAAATTACAATACCCCATATAAATAAAAAGAAAAAAAACTTACATGCACTTCTACTCCTGATGGATCCGTAATTACTCTGCTTGCTAATCCCAAACCCTCCGCTGCTCTCGTAATAGTTTTTCGAACAGAACGCCCTGTTCTGCAAGTTCTTCAAGTTCTGCAACTCTCTCATGCTGTTGTGCGCGCTGGAGAACAGATCGCAATCCAAGACCTGCGACCCGCTCCTGTGACTGCCGTACTTGGATTTCAGTTTCAGTTTCTCGTAGTACGACTCGCACGGGTTGAGGATGTACTCCAAACTCTTGGTACTCTTCGTGTTCGAGCTCTTCTTGCACAGCTTCTTGTGGTTGTGGTGCGTGAATCCTTTCTGCTTCAGATGGTTGAAGGCCGGGGCGCTGGAGCAGTAACACTTGTTGCTCTCCGTACAGGAGTCCGTGTCACACTCACAAAAATTTAGAGTATTGTCTAGGTTGCAGTAGCACTTGCCTTCCATCCGGCAGTTGGGACCTGAGCACTTGGTCATCCTCTTCGTGAGGTTCTTGGTGCCTAGGGAGCAGTAGCATTTGTCCGCCGAGACGCAGGTGCAGGTGTCCGAGTCGTACGAGCATTCCGAGCAAGATACGTAACCTGAGGAGGAGTTTCTGTTTTGGTTGTGCAACAGGTTGAAGCCTTGCGATTTGGATTTGCTTCTTTTCAAGGAAAAAAAGTCGCTCTCTTCACTGGTACTATTTCTATCCTTTCTGTGTCGGCTCTTGTCACCACTTTTCTTCTTGTAGCTCTGCTTCTTGTTTATGTTCAGTTCCTCCCTTGTCCTAAACTGTCTCGTGTCATACGAGGACGTGGAGATTGAACTTTCAGGAAGCTTGCAGTCTGTTTGGCGTGGTGTTTCTTCGTCTGTTTTTGCTGACGCTTGCTTTAGCTTTTGCTTCAACCTCATCTTCAGGTTCTTCTGAAAGATGTGCTTCAGCCGTCGGAACTTACCCCCGACCAAGATGCGATGGCTCTTCTTCGTGTTGATGCTGCTGTTCCGCCTCAGAAGTTTCTTCTTCTGTCTCCTCATTATGCTCTTCGACCGCTGGTACAGTTCGTCCTTGGTCAGCGTCACCGAGAGTTTCAGCAAGAATTCCTTGTATATGGGCTTGAGATCATTAAAGGACATTCCCTCGGGGTCTATTATGACGCCTAAGATGTCGTCTAATGAGTGGAGGCCTTCTTGGAGGGATAACTCATTGAAAATTTCCTTAAATCCTAAGGGAGATCCGCCACTTGCTTGCTCGTTGTTCCTGTGGACAAAACGGGCTTATTTGGTAAATTATAGTATTCAACGAACCAATTAGATATTCATTATTTGATAAGTTTACGCTACGAAAACGTATCAGAATAATGCAAGAAACTATAAATTTATTTGAATTAGAAATAATATTGATAAGAAAATTCCCGTTTCCCCAGGTTCACCATCAAGGATTTATTGTTATACCATGAAGTTCTAACATATGAGTTGCATGTATTTTCCTAATAAAAGCTGCTATAACTGGTATATTCGTAAAAGCAATAAACTTGCTCGTAATATTTCGCTACAAAAAGCAATCTCTATGCAGGGAAACTCAATCCACTTTGAAGCGTGAAGGAAATATTGATTGTTATTATTAAAAGGAATACATTTTAAACTTATTACTATTTAGACAGGCCATTTCTAGAAAAAGAAATGCGCTAAAATTATTTTTTTTGAGAATACCAAAGGTACATTTTTTAATATTTGGGTACAACTTTCCCTCATGAATATTGACAAGGATTGTAGGTTAATAATAATACTTCCAGAATCAATGTTATTTAATCTTCACACTTGCGTAGATGAATTCGTGATTGTAATCTATCTAATTTGTACCATTACGGTTCATCGACCTTGTTCATTTCTTGTTTAAGTTCTTGATTGTCTGTTGATTTACCAACCTTTGAAATTTATTTTGACGTTTTCTGGACCATACCAGACTATATTTAATTTGATACGAGATGAGTTTCGAAAGCAGACAATTCTTTACATCATAAAAATGGATATATCGGGTGGTTCCATAACATTGCGATAAGTTGTAATATTGCAAAGGATCGATTTATTTTCAAAAACGTCTGCTATAGAAGTTACACCCTTTTCCCCTTCCAATGATCGCGGAAGATTAAAAATATCGGTGTAGAAAGAATTTGATAAGATAAAGTAACATTCCAAATTATACAGGGTGTTAATGAACTTATGACAAAAATTTAAAGGAGTGGAAAAGGAGCAAAAACTGAGTTAACTGATATCACAAACTTATATCGGAAGTTTAAGTTCATAGAGAAAAAGACTAATTAAAAATGTGTTTAAAACTGTTTGGTACTGCTGAAATACTTGTATTTTATCGCGGCAAGTACTTAACAAAAAATTCTGTTACATTTTCTTATGAAGCCGGACTGTATTCGAAAATCAGTTTGTAATACATTGTTGTAGTGATTGCTGTGCTATTTTTCGAGAGTACATTTAATAGCCGTATTTCCAAGTTTCCTTTGAAAATGTCGCATATATACATACATAAATTTAATTATAATAATAATACATAATACATAATTTTGCAATCAAATTAGGTGATGTGAATGTATCAAGTCCTGATTTATTAATGTCTGCTTTTAATGATTTTTTTGTAAACGCCCCAAAGGGCATAATAAATAAAATTGAATCCGCAGCTGGGAGTAAGACAATGACAAATAGTATAAGCATGGGAAAAAGAATAAATGATACTTTTTGTTTATTTGCATACTCTGAGGTAGAATTACTTAATCTTTTAAGAGCTAAACTAAAAAATAAAAAATCCCGCGGATCCGATGAGGTACCGCTATTTTTGTTAAGACGAGTTGTTTCTCTGTTGATTCAACCACTTACTTATCTAGTTAATTTCTCTTTCGCAACGTCCAATTTTCCAACACGACTAAAAGTAGGTAAAATTATTCCATTACATAAAAAGGGAGATACTTATTCACTGGAAAATTACCGGCCAGTCACTATTTCGTTTTCGTTTTCGAAAGTTTTTGAATATGCTTTTTTAGAACACCTGTATGTGTTTCTGAAGAAGTTTAACATATTGATTGATAGACAATTTGGTTTTTGTAGCAACAAATCTACAACGTCAGCCGTGTATTCTTTATATAATGACGTTATATAATTTGTAGAGGCGGGCGGGTGCCCTGTTAGAATCTTTTCTGATCTCAGCAGGGCATTCGACTGTATAAATCACAACGCTTTACTGTCGCGACTTTCGGAATATGGTATTAGGGGTAATTCATTACAATGGATTTCTTCCTTCATCACTGGCAGAAAACAGTTTACTTCGATACATCATAAAGAAGATAATTATCTAACATATGTGAGATCTAACTTAATTACGGCTGAATCGGGAGTGCCTCAGGGATCCATATTAGGCCCTGTTTTGTTCATTTTATATATGAACAGTATTGAAAATATTCTGGGTAATGATTCTTTTTCGTTATATGCAGACATCTCTTTAATTATATCGTATAATAATATATAATTATTATACAAGTCCGATATTGACGCGCAAAATAAATGTGATCAAATTATGAATTCTTTATGTGATTGATTCATTGAAAGTCACTTATACTTAAATACTGATAAAACACGAATTATGTGTTTTCATACTCGACAAAAAATGTGTGAGCCTCTGTACATAAAAATTGGTAATTCTTCAATTAAGACTAGCTCAGAACCTGTAAAATTTCTGGGTATATTACTCGATGAGCACATGACATGGAAACCACACTGTGAAAATGTGGTTTCATATTTAAGTTCCATAAACTTTTTATTTTTAAATCTAAGAGATGTTTTAACGAGACAACAGTTGTTAAGTTTATATCATGCTCGTGTAGATTCACATATTCGTTATGGTATTTGTTTATGGGGTGAGTCCACTCTATCCCAAGCAATACTTAAAGTTCAAAAGAAAATAGTAAGAACAATAGCTGGCCTTTCTAGCACGCATAGTTGTAGAGGTATTTTTGTTGAGCTCAATATTTTAACTGTTACGTCGTTATATATTTTGGAATTGTGTGTATATGTTTATAAAAACAAAAATAAGTTTATGCTGAATCGTGATATTCACTCTGCTAATACTAGAATTGGGCAACACTTCCATTTGTCATTTGCAAGATTATCGATTGCTTCAAGATCTCCTGACCACATTGGCTTAAAAATTTATAATTCTCTCCCGGAAAATATTAAGTCTTGTAAAAACTTGCATGTTTTTAAACATATTTAAAAAAAGTTTTTGATCGATAGGTGTTACTATTCTCTTCCAGAATATTTTAAATTGTAAGGTTTTTTTAATTTTATGACCTTTAACTGCTAAATGTTTTTATTCAAGTAGCGGATGTTTTTTTGGTTTGTTTTTTGAATTGTTTTTGCGTTTAATGTTTTTATATTTACAATTATTTTTTTTATTTGTAATAATAGTGTACAGTTTTACTGTATTGTATCATTATATTGACTATTGCTATACATGTATTAATGTCTATATGCAAAATAAATAAACTAAACTATACTAAACTAAACATATAGCAATCGCGAATATTATGATATACTCATAATTTATGGCGAAGCAAACGAAAGAAATCCCCTATTTACAGCGCAAATACTTGTTACAGATGAAGCATGTTTCAGTCGAAATGGTGTACGTAATGTCCACAACACACCACTGGACTATCCAAAATCCACACGAAATACGTCGCGGTGCCTTTCAGCAATAGTTTACAGTGATCATGTGGCCCGGTATAGTTAATGACACTTTAATAGTACCTTTTGAATTGCCTAGACGCTTAGGCCGTGCTTCTTCATTTTTTCAGATTTTTTGCAAAATCGCTTGCCGGGGATATTGGAAGATGTGCCATTAAATGTTCGGCAAAATATGTGGTTACTGCATGACGGAGCCCCCGCTAACTTTTTTCGGAGAGTGCGAGTGCGTTCTAAATATTACTTTTCCCCATCGCTGCATAGGCTGCGACATCCTAGTTAGATGGCCCCCCGGTCCCCGGATCTCACCCCTTTAGACTTCTTTTTGTGTGGGTATGTGAAAAGTGTTGTGTATTCCAACTGCGACATCGTATTACCGAAGCTTGTAATACGATTCGAGAGGACGTGGCAATGTTGCAACGCGTGCGAGCAGATTGGATACGTCGCGCTGAAGCTTGTGTGCAAGCAAATGATGGATATATCGAACATCTTCTATGAAAATCAGCAGGTGGCTCCTTGCAATGTTGAGGTAAGTCAGATTTTAAAATCACATTTTACTCAACACAAATCCGTGTATTTGCCTCATTTTAACATAACGGACATGTGGCAAAAATATTTGACATATGTTCATTAACACTCTGTATTATTTTCTGCTTTAAGGCTGTGTAATTCTGATAATAGAGATTTTTAAAATAAGTTGTAGTAAATTTTAAAACAACGTACAGCGGTTTTCCCCAGTGTACACCGGAAGCGCTGGAGCATCTGTCATACTTGATTTTAATTAAATTTAAATCAATAATTAATTGAATTTTATTATAGTGGTAGCAGTGCCTTTATAACATATTTAGATGCGTCTTTTTATTATATTGGGATTATTTAATTATTTGAATATTATTCGTTGTAGAGAAAAATGAAAACAAGATAATGTTGAGTGGCCGAATGCCAAGGTACGTTTACTTTAAGATAGGTACCATTTTTCAACGAAAGAGAAGCAGTTTTTCGAACAATGGTTTAGTTTGGCTATCAATTTGATGTTATGTTTTTTAATTACTAAATATCCGTTTTATGTTTCTTGTTACAACATAATTCCTTCTATTTTGTCATCATAATACAAAATATGTATACAGGGTGTCCCAGACTCAGCATACAAAAATTTACCAGGGGGTAGACCAGACCAAAATAAGATTAAAATTCTTATAAAATATTTTTCTGCGATGCACTCTCACTGAGTTACAGGGTGTTGTTTAGAAAAAAAATAATAACTTTCCGCAATAACTCAAAAACCCTTTCAATAATTTAAGTAATTTTTGGAAGAAGTGTACATCTATTTAAGGTCATTAAAACTACATGGTGCTTATTTCGATCTGACGCCAGGGGCGGCCTAGGCCAACTTGTCCTCAAGGTTGTCTTCATAACTTTTGCATATCCTACTTTTATGTAATTTGATTACGTTTTCTTGAACCTGCAATCGATTCTGAACAAAAAATGTGCTCTACTTTCATAGCTCAAAAATGAACCATTTTCGACTAAATTGGATCTAAATTATCGACTGCATTAGTTCGTAGAAAGATGCATGTAAAGATTGTATTTGTTGTTATCTAGTAGAGGTACCTACTAGATAACAACAAATACAATCTTTACACGCATTTTTCCATGAATTAATGCAGGCGATGCTTTAGACCCAATTTACACACATTTTTTGTTCAGAATCGATTACAGGTTCAGGAAAACGTAATCAAATTACATAAAACTAGGATATGCAAAAGTTATGAATTCATAACCTTGAGGACATGTTGGCCTAGGCCGCCCCTGGCGTCAGATCGAAATAAGCACCATGTAGTTTTAATGACCTTAAATAGATGTACACTTCATCCAAAAATTATTTAAATCCTTGAAAGGGTTTTTGAGTTATTGCGGAAAGTTGTTATTATTTTTTTCTAAACAACACCCTGTAACTCAGTGAGAGTGCATCGCAGAAAAATATCTTATAAGAATTTTAATCTTATTTTGGTCTGGTCTACTCCCTGGTAAATTTTTGTACGCTGAGTCTGGGACACCCTGTATACTACAATTACTTTTACTGCATATTTTAAGAACTTTCTATAAATTATATCATCAACCTACAAAGTTCTATTTTTGCTTCGTGGCAAAATTAGCACGCTATTTTTAAGATATATTTTATAATGCATTTTTTTTAATGTATTTACTACGTGTGTGGTTATTATACCAATCTATAATATTCCGACAAAAACCAATAAACCTTGAACATGTACTATTGACTGCGAAACAAGAATCTTAGGTTATCAGCAACAGCACATGATCGACTATTTATTAATTAAGCAATCTCAAACAATGTCATTGCCGCTATTGTCTAATACATCGTGCCTAGAATTATTACTGAAAATTGTGTTGATTCAATGGAGATTGCATACCTACTGACATTGTTAAAAATTAATAAATGACTAAGTACTGATGTTCTTGCCGACAGGCCTTTTAACTAAAATCGTACAATAAAAGATATTTCATAAGTTCTTATACAAACCAGTTTTTACATTAAAAATTTTGTAAAAACTGTCGGTTTTGACACGATTGTAGATAAAAAATATTTTCTGTCTTAATGCTATAAATGGTTTTTCAAACGCACATTAAACATCTTGGTGATCATTTGTGTTTATTTAATTTTTATGTCCATTCATAATGCATTTTTTATTGCTTTAATTGCTGTTGAACCAGCAAATATTTCACGAAGATCATACGAATATTTTAACGTACCTGGAAACCTTGTTCTTGTATCTCGTCAGTCCGCCCGTGTTCAAAAAACTGCCGGACCTGGGGATGGTCACTTTCGTCAATATATCACCGGAATTTTCCTTCTTGATAATATTGTCCTCAGTTTTTCTAACGCTCTGGACCTTCTTCAGGCACTTGCTTCCTCCCTCTTCTATCACCTGCTTTATTTCTGCGGTTAGCTGCCTCTGTTCTAGACTCATATATGTGTTAAGTTTATCTGAAATTATATAAGCACTGCAATTACTAAAGTTTCCCTTTTGAAGCATTTTTTCTTACCTGTGAACGTTTTAGGTTTGATTTCTTGGATTTCTTCATTTTTAGACTCGGGATGGTTTTGGGTATGTTCATTATCGCTACTTTGTACTGTTAAGTTATTCTGTAATTCTAACGGCCTTATTGGTTCTTCATATGGCAGGATGGCATCGAGGTCCTCGGATTTCGATTCTGGTGCTTTGGGTGCCCTTTTTGATTTTAAACTCTTTTTGGGGGGTTTGTTATTCGAGGACAGCAGAGGCTGAGTATCGGAAATCTGAAAGACAATATGATGATTGTAAAAAGGCACACCTGGAAAATTTGTGGGATAAACTATTGTTAAATACGACAAAAGAAAGAATACTGTACTAAATTCTGAAAGATGGAAAGCATTATTCAAGCCAAGAGAACTGGTTTTCTTTCAACTGACAGAGTCTTAAAGGTAGATCTTTTTTCGAAAACAGCTTCAATTGTATTTTTTTAGAATTGTACTATGATTGACAATACACATGTCTTCTTAGACATTTTCGATATATGATTTAGAACGTACTTAAAAATATAATGACATCGAAATGTTGGGATATCAGGATATTATATGAATAACAATGCGCCGAGGTTGATAGCTTACTTGTGTGTACGCTGACCGCAGGAATTATTATCCTATAACACCCGTGGTGTACTAGTTTGTTATTTAATTCAATTTTTTTGCATATTGCTAATTTGATGTTTAAATTGTATTGACGTTTAATAACATTACTTATAATTTCTATTATTTAACTTATTTAATGTCATGGCAATTCCATGGCTATTTTCAAATTTCAAAGATGATGTAAATCGACGCTTTAGTACGAAAACATGTCATCTCAGATTTCGGTTGGAGAACATGCTAATCTCAAATTTCAATTGGAAAACATGCTATCTCAAATTAAGCTTGAAGAACATGCTAACTCAGATCTTTAAGTATAAACATGCTATCTCAGTGTGACTAGAAAAAGTTGACACATTGAATGATTGAAACCGTTCATTTATAACAAACTTATATAATATATTTTCAAAAAATAAGGAATGTTTATGTCCATTTTTGTTTATTTTATTTTTTTATTCAACATTTTTTAATTAATTTTGTTAAGTTACTGTTATAAACGACAAAATTGTTAATTAAAAAAATAGAATAATATGCAGTATGCTGCAATACGTAAATTAATCCTTAATATATAAAAATCTTTGTTATTACTAAAAATTATTCGATTTTTTTCGTACAAGCTTTGACATAAAAATTAATAGCGCACTCTTACCTGACTTATAGTCACTCCTCTTACTTTTGTTAATAGAGTTAACATAATAACCAGAATATAACTATAATGTATAAAGTTGAATGATATGTATACATATATCGTTGCGACGGGCGCATATGATTTGCACGTGCACATTTCTGCGGTTCCCCATGCACACATGTTTATCATCAGCAGATCATAAAGTACCGGTAATAAAAGTGTCGCATACCTGAATATCATTTCCAAAGTCTATGCAATTTCCAAATGTCTATGTACCTTGTTTTTATTGAGGTGCAGTAAAAACGATTCGGACCCGGAGTTTAGGGCCTAGCCTTGTCCACTATATGATTCTTTTTATTGTTGTCTCCTTAGGCATACAAAATTATTTTCAGAATAAATTGTGCATCCCAGATTTTGTGAAAAAGAAAAATAAGTGTAAATTTATTGTTTTTATACTGAAGTAGCAATTGCAGAAAAAAATATTGTATGTAACTAGTGTTAAAAAGAATTCTTCTTTGAAAATTTCACATCAAGTGTCAGAAACACTTGTTTGCATACATATTTAATTTTTATAGAGAACACTGGGACATGTTTGTGTCGTTATTAATGAACCTCTCCTTGTGTATCTATAATACCTAGATATGTTTTCTTGCACAGAAAGAACTGTTCGATACGAAATGGCAGCAAGACATCACAATTCAACGAATAAATAAAACTCGAGACGTGTAAATACTCACGTTCATGATATCTGTTTCGCTAATAATGGAAGAAGTCGAACTCCTCTTCTTCCTCGGCGGTCTAACAGGTACTGAATTGCCAGATTTTTCGTTATATACACTGGATGCTATCGACATGCACGTAGTCACCCCGTTCTTATTCCTAGGCTTCCTCTCCTTCGCCTTCATGTGCGCCACCAGCGATTTGTACAGCGTTGCTGCTATTACGATAGCATCCTCTGAGGTCTGACAAACAAATCTGCAAACAAAAACACTGGTTTACAGGGCGAGAGAATAACAGTATATTATATTACCAAATCAATCAAAAAATTTTATTTTTTGCTTTCTTTAAAATTGTTTATTAACGATTTTTTGCATAAAATTTTCCTTTTACGTTTTTTAAATAAGCCATTTCGAGAAAATCAATTCTCTACAAAATTTTTCCTATGAACTATACCGAAATTTTGCTTCGTTTTCGTGCTATATTTAAAAAACTGCAAAAGTGATTTTTCACCCCTATCTTGAATTTCAACCCTTTAATTTAATAGCACCTCGCGGTTTTTTAATTTTTAATGACCCTTCGAACAAGTCATGTGATGACTTGAACTCCTTGAACGTCCTGTGGGTACACATGTTTGCAAGTGACCCACATTTGAAAGCACAACGTCAAGAGCGCCGCAGGACGTCGCCGGACGAACCAGCGTTCCAAGAAGGGCTGCTGGTGCCGGCCACCAGACGCGTACCCGATATACGACCGACTTCAACCACAAGGCACTCTCCAACTACTCTCCAACGAACACTCACCCTGTTAACACGTCTTTCCATACACAAGTTTTCTGTACACCAGTTTTCAATAAAATTCTTTATTATTACCGTTGAGAGAGCGTTTATTTCTTGCTGTACAGCGAAAGCAACCCTCAAATTCATTATACAGGGTGTAACTAAATAAGTGTAAAAGATTTAAGGGGGTGATTCCTCATAGAAAAAAAGATAGGATCTTTCATATAAAGAAACTTCATTGGAGCATCCCTTGTTAAGATACAGCC